TTTGTTTGTCTCTTCCTTCTACATCTCTCGTCACTCGATTACAGCTTAATTATTACAAAGATGGTTGTACAATAATATATAATATAGACTCTGTATTAGTTACAATAATATCGTAGCGTCCTACACGTCACGTCCGGCCTCTCTTTATCGTCACTTAATCGCAAAAATCGGAACTAATTAATTGAGTTCCTCTTTCGAGTTAACGCCCTCACGCTCGATTCTCACTAAGCGCAACATCTTCCTCGTTATCATCGTTCTCTCGAGCGTGCCGCCGCCGCGTAAAATGCGTCTGTGCATGCGTGTGTGTGTGTGTGTGTGTGTGTGTGTGTGTGTGTGTGTGTGTGTGTGTGTGTGTGTGTGTGTGTGTATAAGTCTCTGTATACATGTTTCGTGTATCTTTATTGCTTATTGCTTAACGTTAACGTTCGTGCCGAGCGGGTCGCCGAAGAGACCGTTGTCCGCGCGCATCCCGTCCGTTAATTAAGCTAATCGATTGCTCACGGGAGACAAAGACCCCGCGTCGCCACCGCACGTTTAACGTTAAAGGCAAGCTCCCTCGACTTGACGGTGACATCGCACGCGATCTTTATCCTCGACGAATAAAAACTTAGGATCAGGCGGGAGCCGCGTTTGCGTCGCATCCAACAAGATGCTAATGAAGCGAAAATATAGATCAAAGGATCACCCGTCTGCCTCTCTCGCGCGGAGGGACGCGTCGCGTCGTGCGATTTCCCCCTCGGCGTCCCCTCACAACGCATGAATAAAGAAAAATGTGGTGAGCCGTGTGAACCCCGAGGAAGAGAGAAACTGGCATACCGGCGAAAGAACATCCCTCGTCCCTTGTCTAATAATCTCTTGATCTTCTTCAATCCTCGATTGATTCGGTGGAAATAATATTACATGTTTGTTCTTATCGGCTATAAGAGAATTTCGCCATACTAATTAAGGGTCTATCGCTCAGCTAAAAACTCCTCGTACTCGGTCAGCTCGTTCTGCGAAGGACGAGCGACTCGCCATTCGATCCATTTCCCTTCATCCTTCGTGGCGTCGCTTCGTCCAGCGCGAGGATCCACTCGATCCGTCGAAAAACGACAGCGTGACGCGATCGCCATCGCGAATATTACATGTAATTAATCGATATAATTAATACGCGTATTAATTGTCGTCGGCTACTCGGTACTTATTGAGGGTACATGCCCGAGAATGAGCAAAGAAATGAGCGAACGCTCCCGGCGAAGAAAATATTTATCGAGTAAAATTGTTTCTTCATCTTCCCTTTTTGCACTTATCGAGGACATAGTCTCTTTGTAGTAGTCACCTTTTTTTTCTGTCCATCCCTTAAAAAGTCGCGAGTCTTATCGGCTAGAATGAGAGGACGATCGATCCTACGAATCGCGGGGTCCTTTGTCCTTGACCGAGGTTCGCGATCGTTCGTCGCGATATGGCCGTGATATCGCCTAATCATAAAAATCGCCTAACAATTTCATTCAGCTCCGTTCGACTTCAATGTTAGTGCCTACGCGCTACGTCCGGTAAAAAAATCTACTGGCCAGGGAAAACTCACGCTCGAGTTGCCATCTCGATCGCGCCTTTGATGATTTCTTTCGAATTTCTTCCGTTGGCTCTTCGACGAGATGATCCTTCGTGCGATCTTCCTTTGTGTATTGTTCACCATTCGTTATTCCTTACCCGTTTTCGTCGACGGTGCAGCTTCGGAATGACGAATCGTGCGAACGCGAGTTTCTCCCGACAGTTCGAAGAAACTAACAGAAGCCACGATCACAATTGAAACCGGTCGATGGCTCCTTTCCCTCCCCCCCCCCCCGCATCTACCTCATTCGCAGTTTAAGATTGTACTCTTCCACAGCTTTTACATACATCCGGGCGCTCGATCGATCGGTCAATCGATCGAATGCGCCATATGCCACAGTCGATCACTACGTCGCGAATATCTCCCATAACGAGCTCACTTGAGTGTCCGATACCGCGTCTGAGTCTGAGCCTTAATTGATTTCGATTAGTTGTCGCGCTTTCGATTAGAATCACCTGAATATCGCGGCGACCGTCGTCAGCAGAACGATCGTCAGGTACGTCGATCGGCCGATCTGCCCGCCGTTCGTTTCCATGCATTGGCCTGCAACGAAACAGATGACCAATTTTTATTCACCTTGAGAAGCGTTCTCATATGTATATAAATGCATATAAATGTGCGTGAAATAGAAGCAATGCGTGTTTTAGTTTTTTTTTTTTTTTTTTTTTAATTAGGCAACATTCATTTTTGTGATTAGTCAAGTTCGATATTTCTCATAATATAAGCAAACATTTTACAAGTACGTGCTAGATATTTTTCTCAAAAGTATACGTACTGAATGTTAAATTATAATTATAATACAGAGAACCAACCTCGAGAAACTTTTGATTCTCTATAGATTTTTTTACAAAAATATTAATAGAATATTTTTTAAAAACATTCGCAATCATCTACATAATCATCTTAGTGGCTTTAAATTAATAAATTAGTTCTTTTCTTCTCGAATTAGAATCACAAATTTTGCAATGTGTGGTTTAAAATACTAGAAAGAAATAGTTCCACATCGCGATAACGTCCGAACGTAGTAACATCTGATCGGACTAGAATCGAAAATGCAAGTGAAACAGATAGCACGATTAATAACGAGGACAATATATCTTCCATATTTAACGGTTACTTCGCGCCTATGAGATAGCCTTAGGTCTAGTGACGCATAATTCAGCGTTTATCAACGTGCTGTCGCAGTCTATTTGTCACAGAGAGCTACGCGAGTGTCGCGCTAGATTATAGGGTAGCTGTCACGTTGCACCCTCTGCAACGAGATTTCGAGCGGCGCAATGGACGACAATCGCTGACTCCACGATTTCGATGATGCAGCCCTCACGTCACGAGGAAGTTGAAGTGTGCTGAACGTTTTGCGAAAGGAAGGAAAATCTCGTCGCGTTTTCTCGGTTGTGCGCAACGAGTTCCCGAGGGGTCCGCAATATTAAGAAAATATTCTCATATTTACGAAATTTATATTTTTATCGTTTAATTGACATCAAGAAAAAGTTCATTTTTTTACTTCATACATAATTTTTCTTTCTTTGACAATCATGTGTTAAAATAAATTTTAATCTGGCGGAAAATCTGGTAAGAAAAACTTTATAGATTTGAAACGGACGATATATGTGACAAATTATAATTTTGTATTTGATGCATAACAAACATGATGGAAAGCAGCTTCATAAATAAATAACGATGCGATGTTAAAAAAAATTTCACCTTTTAATAAATTCTTTTTGTAAAAGTTAAGCTTAGTTTATTCCTAATATTCCGCCAATATTTAATGAAGCATTTTTATAAAATTGTCTCAATTGTATTGTATGTGTCTCTGATGCGTAATACATCCGAGTAACATCCGAGTTGCGTGTGCCCGTGCTTAGTGTTCTCGGATTAATGCTAATCCGAGGGGGTGAAACGGCACAACGACGGAAAGCGAAAGGGTTGACGTAGGTTGCCACTTACCGGTGCTGGTAGCGTTGAAGGCCAACAGCGGCGTGGGCGGTGGGATGCCCCTCTGACACGCTGTGGGACTGGCAGTCAAACTGACAACTCCGCCGCTCTCTTTGTACATGAAGCACAGTCTACGGCTGTTTCTGTAGGGCTGCGCCCTGTTGTTCTCGCTGTTCGACCACGCTGTTCTGCGCGCCAACGGAGTAGCGATCACGAACTGCGTGCCCTCGGCGTCGAACCATCTACCGTGGCAGGAGTAGGCTGGAAGGCAAAGAGAGAGCACGGGGCTGCCAGAGGTCTTCGCGAAACATGGGAGGGTTGGAGAAAGTTTCGGGATAATAACGGCCGGGCAAGGGGGGTTGGGGGTTGGGGTGTTTACGTCTCGACGGCCGTTATCCTTCGAGTGCCATTATTCCCCCTGAAATAAACTTCGACAGTGTCGAGGGTCGAGAGAATATCCACGGGACAGGCAAGCGAGAGGAAAGACGAGAGGGAAGGCGAGAGGAGCAGACGCGGTTCTTTCAAACATTCAGACGATTTCGATCTCGATGCGGAATCGCGACAGGGGAGCCCGAGTATCATTTCGACGTAATGAAGTTACGACATTACCGGGATTGACAAACGGGGCGCGTTAAGTTTTCGCGGGCTCGATAAGAGGCGCGCGTGTTATATCGTCGCTTTAATGCTGAAAGACTCGCGAATTCGTCATACTGCCTCCGGATAATATTTTCGTAAGCGCGATAACTGTCGTGCCATTTCGGTAATCTTTATTCCCAACATTGACTTAATTAATATTAACTACGCAAATTCCCCGGGAAGACTTTTGTGATTATTTGATGGACCGTTCTTGTCTCTCTGTGTACTCGGAGCGGGCTTTTTCTAGATAGATATTAATCTTTTCTTCTGATATAGAAAGAAGAAAAAAAAATGAAACAAAAGCCGAACATGAACACTTTACCTGTGCGTGGTCTCTCCGATTTTAAGCTGTCATCAATCATACTTTTTATATATAATTGATATTAATGCTGGAGGAAACTTTTCATTATAAGGATCATAAATTTTGATATTCTTCAAATAGTGGTTTATTTTTAAATACATTGTTCTCCAGATTTATTGAGTCATTTATTACTCACAAATCTTTTGAAATCGTAACTTTTTTAATAAAAAAATACACGATTAGTTAAAAACTAAAAGCATTTTGCGGGAGTTAAGCCTGAAAGAGATGCGAAGGAATCGTTCTTCTTCACAGAGAGAATTTTTATTAGGAAAAAAAGCCTATTTCGAAGCTATAATCGTCGGTTCTTCTTGCATCAAAAAGACACTTTTTTTAAGCCGCGTCGAATTCCACGCTCAAAATACCTTGAAAAAATAATCCACCTCCGTCGCTCGCGGTACTATGCTCGTATTCAAGAGGTCAGCACGGCACAAGGCTCTCGTTAAAGAGGAAGAAAAGTAGATAATTACCGGTGATAGCGTCGTCGTCGACGCAGTCACTTTGAAACTCCATCCTGTCCGCCGTGGAGCAGCCCACGGTTAAGGTCGTCACCTCGGAGTTGCACCTCGAGTCATCCTCGTTTCTCTTCTCCCTCCTCTCTGGAGTGTCTTCGTCCCTCTCGTGTTCCTCGAGCTCCCTCTTCATCCTTAGGAGATCCTTATAGGTCATACCCTTGTCGCCTGGACTCTCCAATATAGATCTCTTTCTCGGCGGGCTCTCGACGTCCAGATAATTCCCAAAATAATCGTCCTGCACCTGCAGCGTGTTGGAGGTCCAGCTGTCGTCGGCGGCCCAGAATCGACCGACCGCGTCGTACGGACGAAAGTCTTCCATCTTCGGGTATCTTCTCGATCTGTTCGCCTTATCTCTCGAATTCATCCCCTCCTCGATCCTCGTCTCGCCCTCGTCTCTTCTGATCCTTCCGCGACTCATCGCGTATCTCGTGTTTTGCGGAACGCGTTCCTCGACGGCGCGCGACCTTCTCGTTTTAGAGCGCGAACTCTCGACGGCGCGTTGCTCTAGGTCGTTCGATCGCCTGACCTTCGCTCGCGAGACGCGCTCCCGCAGATCTCGGAAGGTCCTCTCCTCCAGCTCCGAGGATCTTCTCGACGAGGAGACCTCCTCCAGACTATAGTCCTTGCGGCTCCGGTTGCCGCCGCGATTCGAACGCGCCCGCCGACCCATCCTCTCGTGAACCAGATACTCGTTGTTGGCCCGCCTCTTCTCGACCTCGTAATCCAGCTTGCGACCCCGCCGATCCTCATTCCTCTCCTGGGCATGCCGTACCTTCTCGCCGTCGTGTCGGATAGGCACGGACTCTTGCTGATGTTGGCCCCTGCGGCTCTCGCGCGTGTTCCGTTGATTCCGGTTCACGTCAGTCACCGTGAACTTGCCCAAGTACGGACAGGTATGCGTTTCCGGAGAGCTCGCTGCAACAAAAGGCAAACGCAAAACTTACAAAGATATCGCAAAATATCACATTTCACTTGCAGCCGAAACAAATATAGAATATTTTGAGAAATAAAGCATAAAGGTTTAAATATGCATATATTATAATATACATACATATTCACGATCAGCAAATATTTATAATATACTATATAAATAATTAATTATTTTCTAATTTTTGGTATTTTTAAATGTCATTATATATTAGCTTAAAGATAATAATTATGTATATAACAAATGTTCTTAAATTCATATTTGATTTCCAATATAAATAACTGTTTTAATAGCATAATATATGCGAGATGATATAATATTTATATTGTGGGCAGAGAGAATTTGTGATATGACAGAACAAGAATAAATTTTGCAGTATTATTAATGACGTGAAATATCACATTTGCTTCATTTAAAACATTAATATAATGCTGTCGTATAACTCGCGATTTACGATTATGTTTTTATATTTACGATAAAGAAGTTAATTTAATGCCTGACATGCGCAAAAAATGAAAAATGGCAGCACGATAAACATATAAAAACATATAAACATTTATCGTACTTCAAACGATACTTCTTGTCGCAATATTCGGACAATTTTGTATGAATGTAATAAAATTACAAAATGTATATTGTATTGCAATATTGTTATTATTATTATTATTATTATTATTATTATTATTATTATTATTATTATTATTGTTAATATCACAACATATACACATGAATGTGCATAAATACTAATAAACGCAAATGGTATCGTAGATAAAAAGAGTTGCTGTAAATTAATGATGCTATCTACGAAAGTAAAGTACCGATATGCTCGTAATTTCTACGGCCTAAGAAGAAACTTTGAAGTTGAGTCTTAAACGGAATTTTAAATGCTGTAACTTTAGAAGTTGGGACAAGAAGCTCGACGAAGGTTATCGATCCCTGCTAATGATACTTTCTTGTTAGTGAGAAAGTACGGTATATTTTAAACCGGAAAGAAAAAAGTTCCGAAAAGAGCTACGGATATTCGAGTCTATTCAGAGAGTTCACATAATCATATTTATATCTCTTACGTATCGTGAGATATAGCTAAAAATGTTACGTAATAGTTCTAAATTTATAGGACTTAAGTTAATCGTTTTTCTGAAGTTGCAATTAATTTAGAGCAGTTATATGGTTTGCTCTAGAAATAGCATAAAAAAAAATGTAACGTTATTTCTTTCAACACTTTTGTATAAAATTCTATATATTATTTTTTTTGTAAAATAGTCTCATTAATATTATGTATAAATCTTGCATTCTACAATGATTATTTAAAATTTTTTAATTTTTATATATATGCATATATGCATATATTTCAATATTTTTCAACTTGTTTTTTTTTTCTCTTTCAAAACAGGTTTTTCGTCCTATATACATATAATATGCACTATAATAAATATCACGTCAATCACGCGCAAACAAGGGAAATGCATTGTGGTCTTAATGGAGGCTCGTTAGATGGGAAACGAGAAAAAGGAAGCTAGGAGTCTTTGGACGGCTCAAGAAAGCAACAGAAGACGACGAATGGTTATAACGAGAGAGCGTAAATCGACCATAGGCAGACACAATGCGAACTCTAACGAGACAAATCTGACGGCGCACCCTCGAGCCAAGGGTGCCACCCTCCCCTGGTCCGGTGAGCTGCATTATCGTTTTATCTCGATATCGAGCCTTCGAACCTCGTAGGCTAACGATCGAGTTCTGTCCACTCTTTTATATTTTACATTACAATACGTGCCTCAGGTTAATTGAAAGCATGCGATATACGATGCTCCAGGAGGGAGGGGGGGGGGGGAGAGGGAAAGGAAAAAAAGGAGTATACCGATTATCCTGCAGGGAAAATACAGCGAAGGGTTTAATTGCTATTTAATGTCGAAAGAGTTGGAAAAGTTCGGGTAAAGGGAGTTGGAAAAATTTACATTTACTTGCTCTTAATTAGAAAGCAAGATTCTGTTACAAAGTAACAGGATCTCACTTTCTAATTAAGTCTCAGAAAGATCCGCTTTAACAACGATATTATTTTATTTCATTTAATTGCAACTTAATTACAAAAAAATACGAAAATACTTAAAGAAACTGCGAGAATATGCGCGTGTAAAAGGAGGATTCGAATTAATCATTTATCGTGGAATCCATTCTAATTTTATTTTTACTCTTATTACAAGAATAGGATTCCGCTTTTGTTTTTATATTGCTGCTCCAATTTGCATTCACGAATTGTAATTCGATCTCAATGGTGGTTTGCGACGATATCGCGAAAATCTCGTTATTTTTACGGTTAATTAGACACGATTTTACGGCAATGCAAAAGCGATGTTCGGCGAAGGCGACTTGATTTTTCCGTCTCGTTAGGCGATTCCTGGCACGAAGGACTTGTCTAAAAGGACGGCACGTTAAGGGCAGGTTATCGAGAAAAGGTTGGGAGTCCCTTTGGTTCATTCCTTTGTGTTCGATCGGAAGGGCGAGTCACGAACTGTGGCTGATCGTTTTTTATGCTTTCTCGTTTATGAGAATACATTTTTCGATAATGAAGCATATTTAGACTTCGCAAGTTGTTTAACAATTCACAATTTTACTTTTCTTCGTTTATTCTAATAATATTAATGACAAAGATGATTACTTTGATATAACTAACAAAGGTAAATAAAGATAAGGATAAATTTTACTTTCTTTATTACACAGCATTTTACATTTTGCAACGAAATCGATCCACTTTAATACTACGATATACTATCAAAGTAGTAATCGCAAATTAGAGATATACATGTATACATAGGGGAGCGTATCTTCCCTTATCACAATGTGCTAATCTGTTCTGTGAATCGCGTAACAATGAAGTTTCATGGAATCTGTCCCCAAGGATGTAACTACTAACCGCACAACATATCTATACTCCGCAGGAATGTTTGTAAAAACTGGAAAATATTTTTCGTCGTTTTATTAAAAGAAACAGAAAAAGACTCGCATGTCAATATTGAATGAGATAAGAGCAAGAAGATATATTTTGTATACGTATCAGTTCATAATTCAACTACGAATGACATAATTTAGCTCCGAAAGCCAGATCAATTTTCCAATCTTCCTTTATCCGATGACATCGAAAAAGTTCTAGAGAAAAGATATTCTTTCGTGTCGCATATCAAGACAAATGCGATATCGCAATATATTTAGCTGACCGATATTTTGCTGTTTCTCAAATCACCGCTCTTCGTCGCGGGCGATATATTTACGTCCTGCGGCATAAATACTTATTGGCAACGAGTCGCGCTCTCGATAATCGATAACAACCGCAAGCACTAAATTACCCAGCGCAGCTTTCCAACTTCCGCTAACCTGAACTGAACTAGCTATCCGATCCGCTTTTGAAATAAAGAAAATCACGGAATAATTAATCGCGACAATTACCTAAATCGTCCCAATGGCGGGCATCAGGTTCACGACCTCGCTCGTCCTTAATAAACATCGCAAAATTTATGCGATACCGCGACTCGAAATCGCGATAAAAGCAGAAATAAAATTGGAACGATCTGAAGCTCCCTCTATCCTAATATTTGCATAACAATCCAATCTCCACATAAAGTTGTGTTTTTATGTAAATTCGTTATCCAATGGCTTTCTGATCCAAAAAAAAATTGTCATATCATTTTACATTTCTTTGCAACAATGTGAAATAACCTTTTCGCGAAGTGATTCTTTTTTTTCATTTGTAGAAAATAATTTATTTTTAAAAAATATTTTAAAATGTTGCACATGATTTACGAAAAAATTTGGAAACTAAAAATGAAAGCCAGAGATTCCACTTAATGCCGGTAGACTAATAAAATATGTTGTAACATGTGTTGTAATATGTGTTGTTTAAAACTGATAATAAAGCGGATTTTCTTTTTCTCTTCCTCGTATTCCACTTGAAGAGAACGTGATGTCGAATAGAAATAGGATTCGTCGCATGTCCATCGTGACATCAGCCTCCCTTCTATCTTATTATGACGCCAGTTTTGACCCAAAAAGCCCCGCAGGCAAACCGGTACCGCTTAGTCACCACGGCATTATCCTGTCACATCCGCGTCGTTTCCTGGCGGAGCGCGCTTCTCGACACGGCAGTACCAAGTTTTTAATTAATCGGTCGAGTGCTGCCTCCCTCGATTTTGCTTTCTGCCGCGCCGGTTCCCCTTCTCACCTCTCCGTGCCCCGCGTAGACCCTTTTCAGGGAACGTAACGGCCGTCCCTAACGATCGATCTCGAGGACGAGGGAAACGGATTGGAAATTTCGCCCCGTTATCGCGTGCTTAGTTTGCCTCGTTCATGCTGCTCGGGGTTCATTGGAGTTTCATTTGTTTTGCACCGTCATGCGGCAACGCGAATGACGTAACGGCGGGGATGTTCCGCAATCGTATAATCGTGGAAATAACGTTTCATATATTATTTTTTAATTAACAATAAAACCGTCATTCTTCTTTTTCTGAGACCACCATCAAAATTTTACAAAAAAGTATATTTGTATTTCCGTTGTTTTAGCTTCTTTAAAGAGTATCTCTTCAAAACTATAATGTTGCTTCATGTCGAAGTATTGAAGGGGCTTTGCCTCGAAGAACGAGTGTTTGTTAGAGGTTCTTGCTAGAGGTTTGCTAGAGGAACGGAATCTTTTATCTCATTATGTATGCATACTTTCGGGATAGTTAAGCTGCGCATGCTTTGTCTAACGTCGTCGGAAGTTAAATCGAATGTATCGACCGAAGGGGGAAGTTTGTAAATAAGAGAACGAACGGGGCACTTGTCTCCCGTTCGCGCACGTTTTTCTTCATGGCGCAAGATAGATACGCCGATACGTCACGTACTTTTAGCTGACGATTTACATTCGCGAGTTTCGCGATACTTTTATCTGGATGGGCAGAGAGGGGGGAAAGGGGATTTAAAGAGAAAGACGATAAAAGCGGGCGCCAATTATTCTTCG